CTCTTCCTCTTCCTGCCCAAACCGCTGCCCCCTTCCTGCCAGCCCTCTGCCCTCAGGAGCCAGGCAGGTCTGGATTCTCCACAGACCTGGCAGCACGGGGGCATCCTGCACAGGCCCTGGTGCAGGTGAAAGGTTGGGACTCCGATTGCTGGCTCCCGTGCCCACAGCTTCCATGTACCATGCATACTTTGGTCTGCTGATCTGGTCAGCTGTTGGGCAGGCCAGCACTTCTCTGTAGGCGTGGAGGCTTCGGAAAGAAAGGATTGTTGCGGCTGGCAAAGGGCCTAGGGGCCCCTTGCCCTCCCCTCGACCTAGGTCCCCTCCAACTGCTCAGTGAGGCTGCAGGGAACAGGACAGCTGGCCCCACGAAGGTCCCAGTGAGACCCTGCAGACCGGGCCTGTAGGTCGAGGGAGGAGGCTGGCTCTGGGCAGGCCGCTGGCCTCCAGCCTCCTGGCCCTTGAGGGTTCTTGGAGTAAATCTGTGGAGAGGGCTTGGTGGGTGAGTGTGGCAGAGCCCCGAGCCCCTGAAGGAGAAGTACCGTGACTGACAGAGCGAAAATGGTGGGAGCACACCCTGGGCTCCTAGTGGCCGTTGTCCTGGCCGCGGGGGGCTGCCCTGGACTTGACTCTTGCTCACGATGTCCTCCAGTCGGCCCGGCCTGGGTGGCTGGCGTCCTCACCACACAGCACCTTCTGCACAGCCGGACAGGAGGGTTCTCCCCAGTGTGGCCCACACTGTGCCTCCTACGGCAGGAAGGGGGCTAGAGGAGGGTGAGTGCTTTGTAACAGAAGGCATGTGGGTGCCCGTGCCCTCTGCACCAGGGGCGCACTTCGTGGTCGGCTCGCAGCTCCTTGTGATAAGTAGATGAGGATCCGCGAGACAGAAAAAGAGCAAGGCAGGACGTTCAATATCCTGGCTCCTTCCTCTAAGTGCCTGGGGACCCCCAGTCACTGCGACAACCAGACACCCTCTCCCATTCTGGAAGACCCCTACGGAGGTTCCTCCCTGCTGGGAGCCCTCTCGCCTTTACAAGAACCCCCTCCCAGAGGAAAGAATCATTTGGCACCCACTCGTGCCTCTCCCCCAAGTCTCAGCTCCAGCTGCACCAGCCAGTGCTCCCCTGGCCCCCTTTCCTGCCCAGCCCCTCACCACCCCACTCCAGCCTGGGAAGGCCCAGGTGCCTGCCCAGAGCCCTACGAGGCAGTGTCTTAGCAGCCTCTCAGGTGTCAAGGATGAGGGGTAGGCAATTTGGGTTCCTTCTTGAAACAATGTTATGATTCCATAGAGTGACTTCCTCCTCGAGGGCTGCCACCGGAGTTCCTTTGACCTGTGTCCCAGTGAGAAGTGACCTCAGGGTGGGGCGAGTGTCTCCTGTTGCAGGTGCAGCTGGTTCTCAGGGAAACCATAGCCAGAACATAGGCGTCACCCAGCTTCTGATGCACTTAGGATCACCTGGGCATGGAAGCTTCTGGACTCCTGCCCCTGCCCCAGCATTCCTGGCCCCTTGGCGAGGATGGCAGGCAGGTTTAGGTTCAGCCAGCTGGGGAGTGCACACTCCCAGCCATGGCCCAGAGTTCTGTGGTTGGTTTATCACATTCTCTGAACCCAGATGGGAGTGTTGGGCAGTGCACTCGGGAGGCGACTGGGCAGACCTTTCTGGCAGGCCCCTGCTGAGTGCCGTGATCCCAGGGGTGACCATGGGTGTTGCTGTTTCCCTGCAGGCTCGAAGGAGTCGTTGTTCTCCTGCACACTGACGGCCAGCGAGGAGGCCATGGCGGTGCTGGAGGAGGTGGTGCTGTACGCCTTCCAGCAGTGTGTGTACTACCTCTCCAAGGTGTGCCAGCCGGGCTGCTGTCCTGGCAGGGCCCCCAAGTCTGTGCTTAGGCTGCCCTTTGGATAAGGCGGGCTCAGGCAGGTGCTAGTGCTGACGGCTCTCATCAGGGATCTTTGGGTGCCTAGGCAAGGAGCCTGATGAAGCCAGTGGCTGCTGATTCAGACGCACCCCCCTTCTCCTCTCCAGCTATTCCCTCACCTCCCAACTCCCAGCCCCCAAGCAGAAAACCTGGAATCATCCTGGTTCCTCCTTTCTCTCCTATTGAAACACACCCCTGGCTTGCGAGTGCTGGGTCAGCAGTGAGGTATGTGGACCCTCTGCTGCCATCACCTGAACCTGCTTGTGCAGAGGTGCTGCTGCTGCCCATGTGGCCCTGAGCTGGCAGTGCTCCACCTCCGCCTAGTCCCCGCAGGGGCTTCTCTAGCTCCCTTTGCTAGAGCCCAGCCCATCCCACCAAGTGCCACCTCTGTGCAACTCCCAGGGTCATCTGTGCCTCTAGCAGGAGCAGATGCTACATGATCACCCTGGCCAGCCCTGGCTGAGCCCCCTGCACTCCATCTCGGCTCCCGGTACCCTCGTGTCTGCCAGTAGCGCACGTGGCAAGAGCATTAGGTTGGCATGCTCCCAGGCCAGCCACCAGCATCCCTGGAAATGGCTATTGGTGTTCTCTCGCCCTCCCAGTCCCTGTATGTCTGCCTCCCAGCGCTCCTGGAATGTCCCCCGTTCCAGACGGAGCTCCGGGACAGCTGGTGCTCAGCTCCCGAGCTGCCCGAGGAGCTGCGCCGCGTCGTGTCCGTGTACCAGGCTGCCCTAGACCTCCTGCGGCAGCTCCAAGTGCACCCTGAGGTCGCCTCCCAGATGCTCTCCTACCTCTTCTTCTTCTCCAGCACCCTGCTCCTCAACCAGCTCCTAGAGAGGGGTGAGTCTGCATCCCTGGGGGGAGGAGGACCTGTGTCCCTATGAGAAATTCAGGATATGTCCTCACTGTATGCCAAGGGCTGCTGACCCCTCAGATGGTGTCTCCTGAGGGATAGTTCTACTCTGGCCAGAGGTCTGGGGGCTGTATCTGGTTGGGGGGAGATGCAGGGTGGGAGGCATGCTGAGGCCCAGGGACAGGACTCAGCACCCAGAGCATGTCCTCATAGGGGCCGTTGCCCTGTCAGTGTTGCACAGGGGCCATGGCTGAGGTCTCACAGGGCCCCTTCCCTATGATGTGCAAGGAATGGGCTCAGGAGACTTATCGAACTGTCCCAGAACTGTCAGTGCTGCAGAGCAAGACCTCAGACTTTTGACCCTGCTGCTCTGAACTGACACGCTCACCTGCTCAGGGGCACCAGTTACTTCCAGCCTGGGACATGGCTGGGGCACAGAGACCAGAGCAAGGGTAATGACCTTGCACATGTAATCTACCTGCATAGGAAGGGCAGCATGGGTGGGGGGTTTTATCTCCCACTCTCACTCCCTCCCATGCTCCAGAGAGGGGCTTGGGAAGCAGGTTAGTTGTCTTGGAAACTGACTCAAGTTCTCATAGCCATCCTCTATGGACTGGAATAGAGAAGGTAGGCCCCGGGGGACCAGCAGGTACCTGGCTTGCCCCAGGGAAGGCCTGGGCATCATCTCCCACCCTCCCTCTCTTCCTAGGCCCCTCTCTGAGTTGCTTCCACTGGCCCAGGGGTGTCCAGGCCTGCACCCGCCTGCAGCAGCTCCTGGAGTGGATGAGGAGCACTGGCCTCGGGGCAGCTGGAGAACGCTTCTTCCGGAAACTGTCCTGCACCCTCAACTTGCTAGCCACCCCCAGTGCTCAGCTCATCCAGGTAGGAGAGACATAGATGGCAGTGGGAGGCCAGCAAGTGCAGTGGAGGGTGGGGGCCCATGGGTGGTTGCCCGTGAGTCATCAGCTTACACACCAGGCCAAGGCTGGTACCTGGCTTCCAGGCCTGGAAAATCCAAATGTTCCATAGATAACTGGAAAGGTTGCTTCTGTTCCATAGCTGTTCCCACCGCAGTAGGCAGGATAATAGCCCCAAAGATGTTTGTGCCTAGTCCCTGGAACCAGTAACTGTGTCACTCTACAAGCAAAGGGGACTCTGCAAACGTGATGTAGAGATGGGGAGATGACCCTGGGTTATTCCAGCAGGCCCAGTCTAATCAGTTGCATCCATGAGAGTGCATGAAAAAGATGGCTAGATGGATGCCATGCCTGGCTCAGAAGGTGGAGAAGGGCCGCAAGGCAGGGAACACGGTAACCTCCCGAAGCTAGAAGGGCCCCAGCTGACAGCATCGAAATGAACCTCAGTCCTCCAGTCATAAGGAGCTGGATTCTGACGACAGTCCGGATGAGCAAGGAAAGGGATCCTCCCCCAGAGCCTCCCGAAGGCACCTTGATTTTAGCCTAGCGAGACCATGCTAAGCGCCTCACAGGGAACTACAAGGTCATCCACCTTTGTCGCTTTAACTGCCAAGTCTGTGCTTTGTTGCCATAGCAACGGGAGGCTAATAGCTACCCTTCCATGCTCCCTGGTCATCCACCACCTACTTCCCCTGACATTTGTCACAGATAATGGAAATCAAAACAGTGGTTTCTGTTTGTGCCTGGAAAATATTGAACATGCTGTAGGGTGATGGAGAGAGTGCCTGCAGGGCAGCACGAGATGAAATCTGCTTTCTGTGCCGCCTGGGGAGGTAAATGTTGACTAACTGGGTACTTTGCCCATCTTCAGGCCAAACCTTGAGTTGATTCTGGAGTAGCCAGCTTAAAGTGAAACTCAAGAGGGCGAAATGGGCCTTCCAGTTTCGTATCAGAGGCAGAGCAGTCTGCTGCAGACGGGATCGAAACGTACCGGTCTCATCTGCTGTCCTGTCAGTGTTCTTTAGGAGTAGCAGTCGCTACTGCTCATGATCGAGTGTCTGCAGTGTTACAGGCTGCACTTACCGTATCTCGTGTGATGTTCACAGCAGTCCTCTGCGGTAGGTGAGTTGGGATCCATGTTTCGTGAATGACAAGGCTGAGGTCACACAGTGAGTGTGTAATGAAACAAAGGTTCTGTTCCGTGTGTCACTTATTCATTCATCAAATAGTACAGATACATTATACAGTAGGAGCTGTACGTTACTAAAATGTCATCTTAGGGGTTATTTAATTGTTTAATTAGAAAAAGGAAGCACTTACTCGCTATAAAAAATTCAGGAAGTGGGGATGTCTGGGTGTATCTGGCAGATTGAAGAAGAGATGAATTTAGTTCGCCTCCTCCTAAAATACCAGTAGGCAAAAGTAAAGCAATGCTTCTTAATAGTATAAACTCACAAGGAAAAGAAAATGGTAGAGATGAAAGCAGTAATACTGGGTTGTCAGAATAGCCATGATGTAGTTTTTCTCTGCAAAAATGCATCATGACTTTTTCAGCAACCCACTATTTTGGAATCCAGAAGGCAAATGGGTGAATAGCAGTTGTCTTGGCAGATCTAAGAAAGCGGACTCCTGAGAAGCAGCGCAGTTTAACAGTGAAGCCACCAAAAGGCTCAGGAAGTGGTAGCACCAACGTGCCTCTGGAAATAGGCAAAGCCCATGGGCTGTGTGGCAAAACCTAGCTAACAACAGGAGAAGGTGGGGTTAAAATAGGAGCAGCCCGATAATTTGACAAGCACTAATGATTGGGTGGAGTAGCTTGGGGTAAGCCTACGTTTCTGCTGAGAACTTCCACAGCCGGATAAAAGACAAAAGCCATCTGTTTGGGGGCATCGGAGAGCTGCCGAAGGACTCAGAAGTACGATGTGTGGAGGGAGCCCACGAAGAGCCGAGCTGAAGTTCTGCTGCTGCTTTCCCGGGGACGTTTGCTGAACTGGAAGCAGGTTAGGTGTGAGGCTGAGAACCCAGGCGTTGTCCAGGCAGGGACCATTGCTGGGGAAAGAGAAAAGGGAGAAAACACAGTTCTCTAGTACTGAAAATAGAAAAGGGGCATCATTCGGATCCTGCAGTAAAAATTAGTTAAAGGATATTAGAACTGACTTGATGTAGATAAATTGGACAACTTAGATAAAATGGGCAAATGAAAAAAAATTGTATTAAAACTGATATAGAAGGGGGTGGGCAGCAGGAGTTGTAGTGGTTAAGGGCGCTGGACTCCCACATGGCTGACCATGGTTCTAGTCCTGGACCTGGCAGCTTTCTTTCTCACTTTCCCTCTCTCTCTCTCTTTCTGTCCCTCTCTGGTCAAATTTAAATAAATAAATAAATAAATAAAATTAAGTTAAATAAAATAATTCTTAAAAAAACTGATACAAAAGGAATAGTTCTATATTTATTAAAGGAATTGAATCTATTACTTAAAAACCTTCCCACAAAGAAGATTTAAGACCCAGATGGTTCTATTGATGAATTATTTTAAACATCGAAAAAGTAATACTATTATTACCTACATTCTACTAGAAACTAGAAAACAAGGAAATCCCATTTTATTTCAACACAGTAGTACAACCTTGAGACCAAACCCTGAGAAGGGATCATGAGGAAGGGGAATCACCAAATACATCGGAATGGCTAAGAGGGAAAAGCCAGTCCCAAGCCCTGGGAGGAGGTGCAGCACCTTGCGCTCACTGGCGCCTGCTGGTGGTGTATATTAGCATAACCACCGTGGAGAGCTGCTTGGCAGTCGCTGAAGCTGACCATGGCACGTGCTCCGACCAGGGATTCTCCTTCCCGGAGTGTCTCCATTCGAACTTTCCAACATACAGGGGTGTGTATGGTGGTAGTATTCACCATGGCCTCAAACCGGGGACAACCCTTGTTCATCAGCAGCATGATGGACACGTGAAGGGTGGTGTGTTCGCTGCAGTAGTGTTTCACGGAGACCGAGCACACCTGTTACAGGGAGCCACAGATACATCTCAGACATCATGTCGGGCGAAGGCGCCTGCACACGAGAGCGCGTGTGCCGATTCCCGCGGCACTGTTTCAGGACAGGCAGCGTGTCTATGCTCCTGAAGTCAGGTTTGCTGGCCTGCCCTGTGGAGCCCACAGTGTCTAGAAGGGCCCATGGACTTCTGGACTCCTGGGCTGCAGCTACTCGTGATCAGGTTCTCGTTCTTGGGACTGAGACAGTTCACTGAGTTGTGCGTTTAAGACGCGTCGCATTTTCTGTGTGATCATGGTGCAGCAATACGAAATGCACATGGAAGAGAAGCTGCAGGAGTACTTAGGGTCCCTGCCTTCCCCCATCTGCACAGCTGCCTTTTTCTTGCTCTGGCAGAAGACAGAAAGGGTGAAGGGTTATTTCTAGAACATTTTAAAAAGAGTTCTGGCCAGGTCCAGCTGAGGGAGGAGAGTTATCTCAGGCTGGAAGGGGGAAGCCTGGGGGAAAGTGTGCTGCCCACGTTGGCTGCCAGGTCGTGTGCTCCGGCCACGAGATGGGCTGACTCAGCAGACACAGGTCATCAGCCGCAGCCCGGGGAAGGCATGAGGACATCGACACCGGGGGCTCCACAGGGAAGCAGCCAAGTGGGCTCTAGGTGGCGTGTCCCGCTCTCAGGCTGGGGACCCCAGAGACACTTAGCACCCACTTCCAGATAGGAGTAAGAAAACAGCCAGGCATCCTCGCAAATGCTTCTATTGGGAGGACAGAGCGGGGAATGAAGTTGAACGGGAGTTGGCAAACTTTTTCTATAAAAGGCTGAAGAGTACAATTTAGGCTTTGTGGACCATATTCTTTTTTGTTTTGTTTCAAACCTTTAAAAAATGTAAGATCACACATGTAAATAAGAGAAAAAGGTTCTTGGAAATTAAAATGATGAAAGCAGAAACGAAAAGCTCAATAGCAGGGTTGGAAGATAAAGTTAAGGAAATCATCCAAGAAGTAGACCAAAAGACAGTAAGATGGAACACAGGAGGGAGTCCTGTTCCTGCGGAGGTGATTTCTTAGCACGGATTGCAGGCTCTCTCCCTGACACTAACCCTGGACAAACCGCAGAAGTGGAAGAGAAGCACGGGTGTAGAAAATCAAAATAAAAAATATCCACCTGGGTAAACTGAGGACTTTTTTGAATGGATGTGTTTGAGAGGTGGAGGTGGAGATGGGGCATGTGGGGTCTATAGCCAGTTGGGGTGGCATGGTGGGACACTTTCCCCTACCCTATGTAGCCTTAGGACACTGATAGCCCCTTCAGTGTAGACATTTAACCACAGCCCAGGCCTCTGGATGTTGGCATTAAAGTTGAGCAAGAGGGACCAGCAGTTGATGTAATGGCTTTGTCGCTGGACTCCTGTGTTGTTGATTACCGTTTGAGTCCTGGACCTGGTGGCTTAAACTCACGCTGAGCGCATGTGCGTGCGTGCCCAAGATCCCGAGAGGAGCATGGAGGAGAAGGGATTGCAGCATGGCCATCCCCCCTGGGGGTGATTTCTCACTTTCTATCTCTGTGTCTCTCTGTTTCTCTGGCAAGTGCACGTGCCCTATAGCCAAGACCTCTCAAAAACAAACAAACAAACAAAAAGTTGAGCAAGAGAGAAGCAAAGAGGAGGGAAAGGTAGGAAAACTGAAGAACCAGTCAATAAGGCTGAATATTGAAATAGTCTAGAAAGCGCAGAGAATATGGTGGTAAGGAAGTGAAATTGAACCAAGTCCGTTTCCCAGACCTGAGTTTTCAACTGTAAGTACTCCCAGTGGGTGAGAATGAACTTGCACCCAGATTGAGTGTCGTAAAAATTCAAAACAAGGGGCATAGAGAACCTGCAGGCTTCCAGAGAATAAAAGCAAGACATATTTGGAAGGTCAGCATGCAGAATGTTTTCAGACTTCTCAAGAGTAACACTGGAAGTGAAAAGGCAAAGAAGCTTCCTTCAAAATTCAGAAGGAGATGACTGCAATGAATTCTCTGCCAGCCAAGCAGCCAGTCAAGTGGAAACGTAAGAGGAAGACGCTTTCTAGCCTCCAAGGGTAGCAGCTTTTCTGCAGTGCACTTTTGCCAGAAAGCTACAAGAGGTTCTGCTCCACAGAAATGAGGGGGTGAACTAAAGAGCAGAAGGAATGAGTTCCAGAAGACAGGGAAACAAACTAGAGACGGAAAGAGGAGATCCCTGAGGGATGGCGGCCCAGGGTCCAGTGATGCAGAAGGCAAATCCGCCCTTTCCGTGGGGCTCGTGCTTTGTCTTACTTAGGTAAGATGTAAGTCGTAAGCTCATAAATTAGACTGCAAATTTTGCATTCGGTATGTGTCTTTAGCCTACTTAATTTCTTTCTACTGCTGAGGGCGGGGGTCCAGTTCCATTTCCTCCAGTTGCCCGTGGTCATTTCTCTCGTTGTGCGGCCCTGTGAAGTGACTCCTTACTGTGATGAGGGGGTATGTTCGCCGGACAAGGAGCTGCGTGTGGTACCTGCTAGCCTCTCCTGGAAACAGACGCCCCGTGAGGCAGCCGGTGTGAGCTGCCATCTGTGATGCACCCCCCTTGCTGACTCACTGTGGCTAGTCCCTGCTGCCCTACATGGCCTCTGGTGAGAGTGGGGACTCCAGGGCAACTGTGTGTGCTGGCCCAGATCATGACCAGGGGCCTTGCCCCTCTGCTGGCTGCCTGCAGAGCAACCCTTGGAGGCTCCCCATCCTGGGAGTGGGGCTGTGTTAGAGGACAGCCCTGTGCACTCTGAGGCCTCTGACCATGAGCGCCCTCTTGTCCTCAGATGAGTTGGGCAACCCTGCGGGCTACATTCCCAGCCCTGAGCCCTGCACAGCTGCACCGGCTGCTGACTCAATACCAGCTGGCCTCGGCCATGGGCCCCATGAGTGCCTGGGAGCCGGGAGCTCAGGACTGCCCTGCCGCCTTCCAGTCAGGTAAGCCCCACTGCAGGGCAGGAGCAAGGGGGAACTGAGGACCCGGAGGGATCTTTATCCCAATAGCAGAGAAGGCAGCAGAGGCAGCCCCGCTTCAACCTGAGCCTCAGGAAAGGCAGTGCAGGTGTCTTCCCTTCTAGGGGGACATCCCTGGAGAAGCCTCCAGAGCATCCATACTTCTACTTGGGCCCTGCCCTGTCCCCCCACCTGGGAGCCTAGGGATCTCCATGGCTGGAAGTCAAGGAGCCCATGAATCTGCCCAAGTTCCAATTTCCAGGCCCAGGTCAAAGGTCTCTCCCTCTCCTGATGGACCCTCAGGATGGGGCCTCCCCTGTAGTTTGCCGTGTATGAGTGTATGAACACATACTTTCATACATGTAGATCTATGTGTATATATATATATACACACAGCATATGTGTGCATTTTCTGTGTGGTTCGAGACCTGGACCCAATGGCTTGAAAACATACCATGCACATATGCTTGTGTGCCCAAAATCTCAACAGAAGAAATGGAGGAGAAGGGATTGCAGCCTGGCCATCTCTCATGGGAGGGTGCTTTGTCACTTTCTCTGGTGAGCTCTCTAGCAAGTAGGAAGAAAAAAGAAAGAAATAGGACTTCTCATGCCACGTCCCCTTACCTTAGTCTCCTGGTGGCTCAGCGCATCTCTGAACAGAACTCCTGGTTCCACCTGATGCTTTCTGGGCCCTCTTCCCCATTTATTGACTCGTTTCTGAGGCTTGCATGGGTGCAGCGGTGTTGGGAACTCAGGATGTGATGTTAACATGACTGTCCTGTTGTCTGAAAGGCACTCATGTTCAAGTAGACTGAGAGCCGCACACAAATGCCACAGCCAGGGGTGTAGTCAGCCTAGGCCAAGGGACCACCATGGAGGGGCCGAGTGAGATCCGGGTATTTAGAGCTGCCTAGGCAGGGGGCCAGGGGCAAAGACCTGGTGCAGAGCAGCTCTGTGGGACTTGAGAGTTGGGGGATGTGGCAAGAGAGTTTCCGACTTCTAGGGCCTTTCTGTTTCTCCTCTTTGGGAAGCTTGGATGTCATACTGGGTAGCCATCAGGGATTTGGAAGGGACGAAGGCTAGATCCCTCCTCCTATGTCCTTGCGGGTCTGAGACCCTGGGCTCAGTCTGCTTGTCTGATTCTTGCAGCATCTGATGGAGGAGGGTGGGGAGGTCCAGTACGCCTGGCAAGGGGAGGGCACCTTGCTCCTGCCACCAGGCTCAGCCACCTTCTCTGCCCCTGCAGAAGACATCCTGGAGTCCTATGAAAACCCCCCACCCATCGTTTTGCCGAGCGAGGGCTTCCAGGTAGATCTGGAAGCAGACTGCCCAGACGACGGCGTCTACCAGCACCTCCTCTACATCCGCCACTACCTGTGGAGCCTGCGCAGCAAAGCCAGCCCTGGCTGTGGGCCTGTCCAGCCAGAGTGTCTCGAGGTACCCGGGAGGAATGGGTGCAATGAGCTTGCCACAGCCCTCATTTGCTATTAGGATGGAAACAGGCCCAGCCCCAGCCAGTGGCAGGGGGCGGGGGGGGTGCAGCAGGTCCCAGAGATGCAGTAGCCCCTGCAGGTCTCTCCTCTACAGGCTGAGGTTGCAGATGGCAGGGAACCCCCTTGGTTCTCCCAACCCTCTGTGGTCCACTCTCATCACCTGGCCCATCCCACTTATTTGAGCTCCTGCTCTTCTCCCTCCCAGGGTGGGAACCACACCATGCCTGGGGACCACCTGGATGGCCAGAGCTGCCTCCCAGCTTCGAGGGATCCGGGCAGAGGAGCCCTTGAAACTGCCCCAGCATGCACTCTTCCTTCTGCCGGGGCTTCCCGGGCACAGGGTCCCCCAGGAAGGCAGCCCCGTGGAGGCCGTGGGGGCTCCCAAGCCAACCCTCTGCATGCAGACACCTCCTGCCTGCTCACACCTCCCAGCACCCCACTTGGCCTTGAGCCCAGAGACCCCGACTGGCCAGAGTCTGGCAGCATCCGTGGGAATGCACTCCTGGAAGGGCAGAGGAATGGACTGAGTGGACCTCGGGGTGCAGCTCCAGAAGGTGAGTCCACCCTCATGCTCACACCTGCACCCACCCTACTCTGCTCGGCACTTCATGGCTGGTTCCCTTGGGTCATTCCACCTGTGGGCGCCTGGGTTTTCAAGATTTGCCTCATGAACACGTGCAGCCTGGGACTGGCTGGGTGGGGC